AAGTCAAATGTAAACAAAACTTGCGCAGTTGTATCCATATAGAGAAAGATGAAAGGAATGATTTAGGCAAAACGGCAAAAACCAAAATCTTCTTCTCCAAAGTTTTCAAAGAAGTGGGAACTCTCATTTTTGCTCTTTTGTGTCTTTATTTAAAGGTCTTTAGAGGGATGTAAAGTATTTAGGGTAGGTAAAGCAACATCAAACCTTCATTTTTTTTTTCTACTAAAATAACAAACATCATATACTTATCTGCTCTGTGCAATGGTGTAGCACAGAGCAGCTCAGATCCTCCTTTTCTGGGGTATCCTGCTGTTGCTCCAGACTCCTCCTGTTCGGCGGGTGCCCCCATGCAAAGCTGTGTTCCATGGGGGCATCCGTGCAAGCTCAGTCCTGAGCCATCTTGTCTGTGTCCATTTACACAGAGTGAGAGGCTCAGCACCACCCCCCACGCTGACTTGGCATAGCATTTGACTGACAGCAGCAAGGGAGGAGGGAGACAGCAGCGAGAGCTGCTCTTTTGCACATCTCTGGAGCGGATCAGGCTCAGGTAAGTATAAGGGGGGGGCTATGGGGATCCTGCAGCACAGAAGGTATTTCACCTTAATGCACAGAATGCAAGGCTTTAGATCCACTTTAAGTATATTTCATTTAGGCCTCTTGCACACTTGAGCTAAAAAACACTGCTTTTACAGGAGTTTGAGCCTTTTTTTTCTCTTCCTTTAAATGCCGCTTTTTGTTAACCTACAATATGTATCCATGCACACTGTAGGAGTTTAGTGGCAGAAAACAAAATCCCACCAAAGTCGCAGGAGAGAACCTTCTGGGCCTAAAAAACAACTGGTGTGCCTAAATGCGGGTAAACGCATCTAAACATGCCTAAGTAATAGAGCATTTTTTCATTTCAATGGCCACAATAAATTAATACTCTGGCCAATGAAATAAATAAATGCCCAAGCACTTACAGCATCTAAATGCACCTAAAAAAACCTAAATGTGTTTGCAAAAACACGTCTTAGGCACGTTTTTGAAGCAACATTTCTCCTGCAAGTGTTCCCTGTGGGGTTTTTGGTGTGTTTGACAATTATTTGTGTACTACTCAAATGAATTCAACCTTTTTCTGTAAAAAAAATGTAAAATAATGAGACTAAGGAAGGTCCATTGTTGGCAAAAGAATAGATCCAGGATAGATGAAAGGAGCTTTGGTAACCCTCGGGAGTCCATTGAAATCTTATAATCTATCAGTAAGCGCTTTAATTTTGGCTTCTCAATTGACACCAAAATGGCAACATTTTACTAAAACCTCCTAATTTTTTCCTGAAATTTTAGGGACATGGAGATCCTTAATTTTGCTCTTCCTTAACTCTACCTAAAATCTAACTCCAGCCGAAACATTTTTTTTCTATAGAATGGGGAAGAGTTAACTTTGTTTTTGCCGTTAACACTTTGTTTTGCTGTCGGTGTCCCCATTAATTAGCTATTCTTTTACTTTCTATTCAAGCGTTGCCATAAATGAAAGGAATAGGTATAACTGGGTTAAGAAGACTCTAACAGCAGTTAAAGCCTGAGAGGGGCACTAACCCCTCTCCACTCAAGAAAATGCTTTGAATGAAATAACACTTTCATTTTCAGGAAAAAAAAAGAAGAAAACATGGCTTTTATAGAATGAAAATTCATGCAGAAAATAAGGTTCATGGGTAGCGCTAACCCCAATGGAGTCGCTTGTATGTTTTCCATGGGCTTCCCCTTGCTTCACCCCGCAGCCAGGCACTCATGCACTCTTTCGCTCGTTGTCTGCAAAGACCAGTCTAGGGGATGTTTGTTTTTGGAATTTTATTGTAGAACTGGGGATAGGTTAGGGAGCTAGCTGATCTCTTATTTGAACACTTAGGAAGTCTTACTTGACAGTAGATAGCTAACTACCCTTTACTTTGTAGCAACAAGTAGTTTAGGAATGAGCAAAGTCCCTTTTTGCAGTAGTAGTAGTAGTTACAGGGCTGAGATCCTCAGGTATAAGCCAGTTATGCCAGACTGTGACAGCCCAAAGGCAACGTAGCTGAGCAAAGTCCCTTTGCAGAAGCAACAATCAGGCCAGCTCTTCAGAACACTAGCCAGTGTTCCCTTTCCCTTTTAGACCCCCACTGACTATCAAGCACCAGAGGGGTAGCAAGCACTCAGAGTTCCCAGGATCTCTCAATGTCTGTACTCACAAGTCCAAGGACAGAATGGTTGCCTCCTTCCAATCTTCCAAGCGATTTTCTCCAGATACCCGACTGATCTTTGGCAGACATATCCCCTCAGTCAACTTACTGAAGAACCAGGATCACTCTCTCTAACTTCAGGCCCTCAGGTCAACCCACCTGAGGCCACATGGCAGCAAGTGCCAGGCAAGGCAGCCTGCCTCCAGCCTGGCTTGCTGCAATCAATTCCCAGAAAAGACACAGAACCCAAGTGCTCTCAAAACATAAATACCATTCCCAGCATGTAATGGGACTGTCTTCCCCTGAAATTGGCCAGGGCTGTATCCATATTCATGCTGTTCATTTGCCTAGCCCCTACCCATGTTCTGGAAGGCTCTCATAGCTTCCTGAAGGCAGGCATAACCCATACAGCTCCAGAGCAGCATACGCAGACCTAAATTATCAATCACAGCATTCTGTGAAGCAGAATACCACACTGAATTTACCTGACAGCCTCTCTGGTAAGCAGAGAAACACAGCTATGCTTAACCTAACTATGCACATCCTAGCACTTGACTAGGAGGGTAATGCATCTATATTCTACAGAAAAATTCAGAAAGTTGTAGCCTTTGAAATAAAATTAAAACTAGCAGGTCATTTAATTGACAACAGAACAATAAAAGACATCCTCATCTTGGCACAACATATGTCTAAGGGCCCAATTACACCATATCCAGTGACCTGTGTTTTTAGGAACTGGATAAAAAGGAGTCACTGCATGAGCATATAGAAAGTCATTGTTTTCTATGTGCCTTGTTCACACCTTAGAGTTGTGTGCATGTGCAGAGCAGTGCATTGCGTTAAAATGCAATATGTATGCATTTTAATGCAGTGCAACAGTCCACAGACCTTTGTATACTTGACCAGACTACAGTGAGGATTGGGGAAGGCTATCTGATATAGATATTTGCCGGACATCATGAAACCCCATTGTCTTTGTAAGGTTTATGAGGTTAAAAAAGAGCACAACTAATAAAATACTTTGTCAAGGTGTGTGCATCTTTGTTTCTATATCCTCTGTTAAAGTGAATGAGTAATAAAGTGTACTATGTACCAATTACTAATTCAAGTGGGGAAGATGTAGATATCTGGGAGCTCCAGAGCTTGCAAAGTTAGCTTCAAGATCCTGATAATCCCTCTGCCTGCAGATCTCTACAACTGCTGAGCCAGGGTTGGATGGAAGAGGCCTTTGTCCTCATCTACATAGAAACAAGGTGCTTTTCCAGGGGGTCCCTTCTGACCAGGTACCCCCCCCCCCATGTTAAGGGTATGTGTCCTGGTGTAGTTCAGGAAGAAAGAGGGCACACTTTCATCCCCCTTTGCTGACTAGTTAGTCTACATGCTGGGATAATGGTCAAGTTTAGATTTTTTGGGGGACCTCTACGCTGCCTGTTTTTGCAAATTGTTGCTGTGGGATCTCCCTTCAAATCCATACTACACCTGTAGGATCTAGTTTGGATTTTTAGGGGACCCCATGTTATTTTTCATAGCTACAGTATATTTTGGCCTGGGGTTCTCTTTCAAGATTCATTCCACAACAGGATCCCTTGCAGAATAAGGGTCGTGGATGGAGTATGGGAGCAATGAGACTGCAATATGCACATCAATGGCAACGCATAAAAATGCAGTGCAGTGCACTTGAAAATCCAACATAGTGTGCATAAAAATGCATGCAAATGTGGGATATGGCACATACATTTTCCGTGTGTTGCAGTGTATTTTTATGTGCAGTATGGTGTGAAAAGACCCTAACACATAACAGGTAAAAACAGGATAGATTTTGCAAATATATACAAATCCACACAATCACATCAACCCACCTCTGTAAAGGGAGATCGGGGTGCTACTCCAATCTATTTGAGCTTTGACCAAACTCTCCTTACAGGTACAGTAGCACAGAAGGAACCCAGACTCTCTCAGCTAAATAACCCTACTGTGTGTTTGTACTAAATAGAGAAAAAAAACTGAATTTGACAGCTGTTCAAATCAATATGTAACTAGCAGAGGGAGGTACCTGCAGGTGGGGCAGTAACTGAGCAACACAATGAACCTAACTATAAACTCTTTGTGACATTAATGATTTCCAATTTTCAATCCAAAATTATTGGGACCTTCTTAAAATTGTAAGAACTAATTGCATTCCAAGTTTGTGATGCTCCTGTAATTTGTAATTGAACTCACCTGTATCAATTAACATATCTTAATGTTTCTGTGTCCACTGTGTGCAACATTGTCAAGAAGCTAACAGCCCATGGCACTGTAGCTAATCTCCCTGGACATGGACATATTCAAGCTGACCTTCAGGCACAGGGTACAACTGTGTCAGCTCGCATTATACATTGCCATCTGAATGAAAAGAAACTCTATGGTAGGGGACCTAGGAGGACCCACTGCTGACACAGAAACATAAAAAGCTAGATTGGAGTTTGCCAAAACGTACCTGAGAAAGCGAAAATCCTTGTGCTGTGGATAGATGAAACAAATTTACAACTTTTTGGTAAAGCCCATCATTCTACTGTTTTCAAAAAAGGAATGAGGCTTTTAACCACCTCCCGCCCGCCATATAGTAATATGACTGGCGCAAGGTGGTTCTCTCGTTCTGGGAGGATGTCATATGACGTCCTCTCATTCTCACTGCGCATACGTGGCTCAGGGAGCGCACAGTGCGGCGATTGGCGGTGCGCTGTGTCCCTCGGACACAGCAGTTCATCATGGAGAGAGCTGAAGATGTCGGCTCGGTCATGTGATCAGCTGTGTCCAATCACAGCTGATCACATGTAAAACAGGGAAATGCCGGTTATCGGTATTTCTCTCCTCTCGAGCTGTCACGCTGACAGCTCGAGAGGAGAGCCAGTAATTGACTTTCCACGGAGAGGACATGTACACTGATCATGAGGGCACTTATGATCAGTGTGCCCTGATGATCAGTGTAGCCCCAGCAGTGCCACCTGTCAGTGTCCATCAGTGCCTTACGTCAGTGCTCATCAGTGCCTCGTGCCAGTGCCCATCAGTGCCACATATCAGTGCCTACCAGTGCACATCAATACCACATATCAGTGCCCATCTGAGCTGCCTTTCAGTGTCACCCATCAGTGCCAGTCAGTGCCACCTATCAGTGCTGCCAATCAGTGCCACCTATCAGTGCCAGTCAGGGCCACCTATCAGTGCTAGTCAGTGCTGCCTATCAGTGTGCATCAGTGCTGCCTATCAGTGCCAGTCAGTGCCGCCTAACAGTGCCAGTCAGTGCCACCTAAGAGTGCCAGTCAGTGCCGCCTATCAGTGCTGCCTATCAGGACCATATATCAGTGCCATGTATCAGTGCTGCCTTTCAGTGCCCATCGGTGATGCCTGTCAATGCCCATCAGTGCCACCTACCAGTGCCTCCTCATCAGTGCCCATCAGTGCCACCTATCAGTGTCCATCAGTGCAGCCTCATTAGCGCACATCAGTGAAGGAGAAAAATCACTTTATTTACAAAATGTTATAACAAAAACTAAGAAAAACATTTTTTTTAAATTTTCTGTGGTTTTTGGTTTGTTTAAGAAAAAATAAAAAACACCAGAGGTGATTAAATACCACCAAAAGAAAGCTCTATCTGCCACAAAAAAATGATAAAAATTTCATATGGGTACAGTGTTGTTTGACCATGCAATTGTCATTCAAAGTATGACAGCGCTGAAAGCTGGAAATTGGCCTGGGCAGGAAGGGGGTACAAGTGCCCTGTAGGCTAGCGGTTAAAGAAAAGAATACAGTCCCTACAACCAAACATGCTGGAGGTCCACTGATGTTTTGGGGTTGATTGCTGCTTCAGTCATTGGATGTCATTACCGTGTGCATGGCATTATGAAATCTGAAGAGTGCAATGTAGGGCCCAGTGTCAGAAAGTCGGGTCTCCGTCAGAGGTCATGGGTCTTACAGCAGGACAATGACCCAAAGCACACATCAAAAAGCACCCAGAAATGTTTAAGACAAAAGGCTGGAGAGTACTGAACTGGCCAGCAGAGAGTTCAGATCTAAATCCCATAAAGCACCTATGGAGAGATCTTAAAATGGCAGTTGAAAAAGGAATCCTTCCAATCTAAGAGACCTGGAGCAGTTGGTGAAAGAAGAATGGTCCACAATTCCAGTAGAGAGGTGTAAGAAACTCATTGATGGTTACAGGAAGCGATTGATTTTTTTTTTTTTTTTTTTCAAGGTGTGCGCGACCAAATATTAAATTGAGGGTGCCAATAATTTTGTCCAGTCCATTTTTCGACTTTTGCATAGAATGTCTCAGATTTGGACTTTTGTTTCTCCACTTTTTTTGTGTGTCACAACAATACAAAAAAAATCAAAACATGAGAATACCTAAACGTTTGTAATTGCAACAATTTTCTTGGCAAAGTGGTGAATTACAGAAATGCAGGGGTTCCAGTATTTTTGGCCATGACTATATTTACAGTGGATATAAAAATCTACAGACTGCTGTTAAAATGTCAAGTTTCTGTAATGTAAAAAAAATGAGACAGATACCGTATTTGCCGGCGTATAAGACGGCTTTTCAACCCGTGAAAATCTTTTGAAAAGTCGGGGGTCGTCTTATACGCCGGTATACGGTGAGCCAGTGTCAGGGCGGCACTTTTTCGAGGGCGGCGCCACCCCCCTCCTCCTCCAACAGACACCAAGTACAGGGGTGGGCAGAGGGGCTGCTGTACCTTACCTGGCTCCAGTCCCGGTCCCACGACGATCCGGTCCAATCACCGGCGAGGAGGCGGAGCCGAACGGCCCCACGAAAATCAAGCAGCCGAACTGAAAGAAGGAGCAGCCGCTCCTCTCCCCCACTGACACTAATGATGGGGCACTATTCCTCCCCCACTGACACCAACAATGGGGCACTGTTCCTCCCCCACTGATACCAACGATGGGGCACTATTCCTCCTCCCCGCTGACACCAATGATGGGGCATTATTCCTCCGCCCCACTGACACCAATGATGGGGCACTATTCTCCCCACTAACACCAATGATGGGGCACTATTCCTCCCCCACTGACACCGACCATGGAGCACTATTCCTCCCATTGACACCAACGATGGGGCACTATTCCTCCTCCCCACTGACACCAACGATGGGGCACTATTCCTCCCACTGACACCAACGATGGGGCACTATTCCTTCCACTGATAACAATGATGGGGCGCTAGTCCTCCCACTGATACCAATGATGGGGCGCAATTCCTCCCACTGATACCAATGATGGGGCGCAATTCCTGCCACTGATACCAATGATGGGGCGCTATTCCTCCCACTGACACCAATGATGGGGTGCTATTCCTCCCACTGACACTAATGATGGAGCACTATTCCTCCCACTGACACTAATGATGGGGCACTATTCCTCCCACTGACACCAATGATGGAGCACTATTCCTCCCACTGACACTAATGATGGGACACTATTCCTCCCACTGATGATGGGACACGATTCCTCCTCCTCACTGATGGGGCACTACTCCCACTGAATGATGGGGCACTATTCCTCACACACTGACACTAATGATGGGACACTATTCCTCACACACTGACACTAATGATGGGGCACCATCATTGGTGTCAGTAGGAGGAATAGTGTCCCATCATTGGTATCAGTGGGAGGACTAGCGCCCCATCATTGGTATCAGTGGGAGGAATAGTGCCCCATCATTGGTGTCAGTGGATGAAATAGTGCCCCATCATTAGTGTCAGTGGGAGGAGTAGTGCCTCATCATTGGTATCAGTGGGAGGAATCATGCCCCATCATTGGTGTCAGTGGGAGGAATAGCCCCCATCATTGGAATACCATACCATATTGAAATCAAATCTGATGTTTTTTCATTTTTATTTGGTGTGCGTTGGAAGAGGGGTAGTCTTATACGGCGAGTATAGCTCAAACCCTATATTTTAACAGAAAAAGTAGGGGGTCGTCTTATACGCCCAGTCGTCTTATACGCCGGCAAATACGGTAAATCATTTCAGAACTTTTTCCACTTTTAATGTAACCTATAAACTGTACAACTCAGTTGAACAACAAACTGAAATATTTTAGGAGGAGGCAAGTAAAAATAAAAAACTAAAATAATATGGTTGCATAAGTCTGCACACCCTTAAACTAATACTTTGTTGAAGCATCTTTTGATTTTATTCCAGCACTCAGTGTTTTTGGGTATGAGTCTATCAGCATGGCACATCTTGACTTGGCAATATTTTCCCACTCTTCCTTGCAAAAATGCTCCAAATCTGTCAGATTCCGAGGTCATCTCCTATGCACAGCCCTCTTCAGATCACCCCACAGATTTTCGATCGGATTCAGGTCTGGGCTATCGCAAAACTTTAATCTTCTTCTGGTGAAGCCATTCCTTTGTTGATCTGGATGTATGCTTTGGGTCGTTGTCATGCTGAAAGATGAAGTTCCTCTTCATGTTCACCTTTCTAGCAGAGGCCTGAAGGTTTTGTGCAAATATTGACTGGTATTTGGAACTGTTCACAATCCCCTTTACCCTGACTAAGGCCCCAGTTCCAGCTGAAGAAAAACAGCCCCTTCACTGTGGGTATGGTGTTCATCTGGGGATGTGTAGTGCTGTTTTTGCGCCAAACATATCCTATGGAATTATGGCCAAAAAGTTCAACCTTGGTTTCATCAGACCAAAACACATTTTCCTACATGCTTTTTGGGAGACTTCAGATGTGTTTTTGCAAAATTTAGCCGGGTTAGGATGTTTTTCTTTGTAAGAAAAGGCTTCCGTCTTGCCACTCTACCCCATATCCCAGACATATGAAGAATACGGGAGATTGTTGTCACATGTACCACACAGCCAGTATTTGTCAGATATTCCTGCAGGTCCTTTAACCACATGCCGCCCAGCCACTGTATAAATACGGCGGCAGGGCGGCACCGGCAGGCAAAACCACGTTTTAAAACGTGTGTTTTGTAAACAGGTAGGGGGCACGCGCGAGGTGCGCCGCTGCCCTACCTGTCCCGCCGATCACAGCCGCGGATGTCAGTAGCCGGGTCACAGCCGATCGTTACCGGCTATGTCCTGGCAGTCGGCGGCAATAGCTGGCAGAGAGCACAACTGCAGTAGCTGTGCTTTCTGTCAGTTCCCTGACAGCTCCAGGACAAGCTGATCGGAACAGAAGAGTTTCTCTCTCCTGATCAGCGGTGTCCTGTGCAGCACACACCCCCACCCCCTAGTAAAACACTCCCCTCACACAGATAACCCTTCCCTGAAAAATAAACTTAACCCTTTCCTCCCCAGTGCCATTAGTACCGTGTCAGTGTTTTTTTTTTGCACTGATCACTGTATTGGTGCCACTGGGGATGTCAGCGACCCCAAGTCATTACCCCCCAATGTCAGAATGTCCGCCGCAGTCCCACCATAAGTCGCTGATCGCCGCCATAAGTCACTGATCGCCGCCATAAGTCGCTGATCGCCGCCATTATTAGTATAAAAAAAACCCTAAAAATCCCAGTATCTTTCCCGCCATTTGCCATTAAACGCTATAACTTTCACGTAAACCAATTAATTTACATGTATTGGGTTTTTTTTTTTTAGCAAAGACATGTCGTAGAATGCATTTTGGCAGAAATTTATGACTAAATTTGATTTTTAAATTTTTTTTTTACTGCTATATGTTTTATAGCAAAAAGTCCTAAATATTGTTTTTTTTTCCTCAAAATCGTCAGCCTTTTTTTTTATAGCGCAAAAAATAAAAACCGCACAGGCGATCAAATACCGCCGAAAGAAATCTCAATTTGTGGGAAAAAAAAGGATGTAAATTTAATTTATGTACCATATTGCATGACCGCACAATTGTCAGTTAAACTAGCGCAATGCTGTATAGCAAAAAAATGGCGTAAATTGCAGTATCTATACCATAGTTTGTAGACGCTATAACTTTCACACAAAGCAATCAATATACACTTATTGGGATTTTTTTTTACCAAAAACATGTAGCAGAATACATTTTGGCCTAAATTTATAACCAACTTTGAGTTTTCTATATTTTTTTTATAGCTGAAAGTAAAAAACTTTGTTTTTCTTCAAAATTTTTGGCCTTTTTTTGTTTATAGCGTTTAAAAAAAAAAGGTGATCAAATACCACCAAAAGAAAGCTCTATTTGTGTGAAAAAAAGGACGTAAATTTCGTTTGGGTGCAGCGTTGCATGACTGCGCAATTATTAGTTGAATTAGTGCAGCGCCGAGTAGCAAAAAGAGTCATTAAGGAGGGTAAATCCTCTGGAGGTCAAGTGGTTAATGTTGCTGTAGGCCTCTTGGCAGCCTCCCAGACCAGTTTTCTTCTCATCTTTTCATCAATTTTCGAGGGACGTCCAGTTCTTGGTAACTTCACTGTTGTGCCATATTTTCTCCATTTGATGATGACTGTCTTCACTTTGTGCATGGTATATCTAATGCCTCGGAAATAATTTTGTACTCTGACTGATACCTTTTAACAATGAGATCTCTCTGATGCTTTAGGGAGCTCTCTGCGGACCATAGCTTTTTCTGTAGAATGCGACTAAGAAAATGTCAGGAAAGACCTGTTAAAACAGCTGACCTTTATTAGGGGATAATCAGAGGTACTTTAAATGATGGCAGGTGTGTACTGACTCCTATTTAACATGATTTTGAATGTGATTGCTTAATTCTGAACACAGCTACATCCCCAGTTATAAGAGGGTGTTATTTTATTTTAGTTTTTTATGTTTACTTTCCCCTAAAAGATTTCAGTTTGTTTTTCAACTGAGTTGTACAGTTTATAGGTCACATTAAAGGTGGAAAAAGTTCTGAAATGATTTATCTTTGTCTCATTTTTTACATCCCGGAAACCTGACATTTTAACAGGGGGGTGTAGACTTTTTATATCCATTATATATAGTATACTGGAGTGGATGATAACAGCACTGTTTTTCTTTCTTGGCATAATATTTATATTCATGAACAGAAAATGTCATGGTTTGGGTTCATTTTATTTAAAAAAAAGTTTTAATCTATAAAAACAGAACTCCAGCAAAAAAAATTAGATAAATATGAATTCTCTATTTAAATAAAATAATGAAAGGAAATTTGAAAAACAGTCTTTTCTGCAATATTCACCTTCAGTCCAGAGCTGCCCCAGGTGTACATTTCTGACTCCCCGCATCATTCGACCAGGACCCATTCTACCTTGGCATAGATCAGCCCACATTTCTGGAGAAATTATTTCAACAGCTTTTCTATTGCAGGAACTTTGTTCTGTTTTTTTTTTTAACCCAACCCTTTAAATACACATGTATTTATATTATAAATATTATACAGGGTTTATATAGCTCCAACAGTTTGCGTAGTGCTTTACAGCGTGAGGGCAGACAGTACAGTTACAATACAATTCAATACAGGAGAAATCAGAAGGCCCTGCTCAATAGAGTTTTCAATCTAAAAAGTAGGGTCAAGTGATTCAAAAGGTAATAACCATGGGGGATGAGCTGATGGAGAAAGTGAAGATGTAGTTGTTAGGTGGAGGTGGGATAGACTTCTCTAAGAGAAGGGACTTTCAAGGATCACCTAAAAATGGACAGAGTAGGAAAATAGTTGGACAGATTTGGGTAGGGGGTTCCAAAGGATGGGAGAGGCTTGGGAGAAGTCAAGGAAGTGAGAATGAGAAGGGGGTGAAAATCGAGCTAGAGAGCAGGAGAGGAGAGAGGAATGAAGAGGGTAATTTGGTTGGTATTTTGAGACTAGTTTAGTGATGTAGCTGGGGCAAAGTTGTGGATGGCTTTGCAAGTAATTGTTAGTATTTTTAATTTATTTCATTGGGTGAGTGAAAACCAGTGGAGGGATTGGCAGAGAGAGGTAGCAGACACTAAACGGTTAGTAAGGTAGATGAGTCTGATAGCAGCATTCATGATGGACTGAAGGGAGGATAGCCTATGTAAAGGTATTACCATTTATGTAAAATGTTTATTTTACAACAAACATGAAATATAGAGTGCACCCAAGACAAGCCTTCATAGAGCATTGCTTTTTAAAATTGGTGCATTAAGTGCCAACGTTGCAGAGCTGTCTGTCCGTCTATCTATCTATCTGTCTGTCCGTCCGTCCGTCCGTCCATATGTCCGTCCGTCCGTCCGTCCATATGTCCGTCCGTCCGTCCGTCCGTCCGTCCATATGTCCGTCCGTCCGTCCGTCCGTCCGTCCGTCCGTCCGTCCGTATGTCCGTCCGTCTGTCCGTCCATCTATCTATCTATCTATCTATCTATCTATCTATCTATCTATCTGTCTGTCTGTCTGTCTGTCTGTCTGTCTGTCTGTCTGTCTGTCTGTCTGTCTGTCTGTCTATCTGTCTGTCTGTCTGTCTGTCTGTCTGTCTGTCTGTCTGTCTATTTATCGGTCTGTCTAACTCTTTACCTGTCAGTGTGTCTGTCCCACTAAATTTCTCAATAATGCTAGATAAGTCTTTTTGCTGGATATTAGAAATGGTTGTAGAAATAATGGGGCACTTCACGCTTCAGTCAAAAAAATAAATCTTGGCACAGGTTACTGTAGCAACGGTAGTAGGGAAGACAGAAAAAGAGGTCTTTGTGATCACCTTGCTGGATTTTAGAGACCCCTGGCAACATCACAATTAATATACAATCCACAAGGAAAGAGACTGGCACTTTGACATTTTCCAGAAACATACAGCAGCAAGCAGGCTGACAATCTGCAGTTTACTTGCTCAAGGCTTTGCTGTAAGACACATCGGTTTGCTGTTTGTCGAGGGTACTAGGTGAATTAAACTGAGCCAGTCTATGGATATCAGTTTTTTTTTCTTTCTAAAGGAAAAAAAATCAATTTAAATGGAAGTTTGAGCACAATCAATAGATGTGGCAGGCAGCAAATGATGGCAAGTAGGGATGTAATGAAGGTGTGTAAGTGCAAGCAGTTCGCATAACAAAGGGCTGGAAAATTACCGGGCTGTGCGTTATTGAACAGGTGCGCAGCAGAACGGCCTATCGTTTGCTGCTTACTCTTTCCTGATGCTGCAGTGTCTTGTCCCAGGTAATTGTAAGTGGCAGCAGAACATCCCCGAGCAAGTGCTCAGTGACTTCTATTATTTTCCACTAGATAGATTTGTTAACATATTTAACACTTGGCGTAGTCGGTTGTTTCTTAGGTGACCATGGAAATATGAGACTTAATCACATCTAATGCAAATAACATGGTAGCCTGTACCGTCTTGCCAAGAAGGATAATAGCAAACACTTCCAAACCTTACATCCTTGGGAGTATGAATAGCAGGATGGAGTACAGAATGAACGCTCCTTCCCACCCAGGGTCTGCTTCAGCCCTTTCTGACTCCTTTCCTGAGCCAATCACATTGTCTGGATGTGACATGTGGCAATTGAAAATAAAATGTGCTAAGAAAAATAAAAGTTTATGTCTTTAATCACTTGCCTACAGGGCACTTATACCCCCTTCCTGCCCAGGCCAGTTTTCAGCTTTCAGCGCTGTCACACTTTGAATGACAATTGTGCGGTCATGCAATATTGTACCCATATGAAATTTTTATAATTTTTTTGAGACAGATAGAGCTTTCTTTTGGTGGTAATTAATCACCTCTGGGTTTTTTATTTTTTGCTAAACAAACCAAAAACAACTGAACATTTTGAAAAAAATTTTTTTTTCTTAGTTTCTGTTATAAAATTTTGTAAATAAGTAATTTTTCTCCTTCACTGATGTGCGCTAATGAGGCTGCAGTTATGGGCACTGATGGGCTGCACTGATGGGCACTGATAGGCAGCACTGATGAGGAGGCACTGATAGGTGGAACTGATGGTCATTGACAGGCATCACTGATGGGCACTGATAGGCGGCACTGATAAGCAGCACTGATAGGCAGCACTGACTGGCACTGATAGGCGGCACTGACTGGCACTGTTAGTTGGCACTGACTGGCACTGTTAGGTGGCACTGACTGGCACTGATAGGTGGCACTGATTGGCAGCACTGATAAGTGGCAATGACTGGCATTGGTAGGTGGCGCTGACTGGCACTGATAGGTGGCACTGAAAGGCAGCTCAGATGGGCACTGATATGTGGCATTAATGTAGGCACTGATATGTGTCACTGATGTGGCACTGGCAGGTGGCATTGATGAGCACTGACTACTGCATTGATGGATACTGACAGGTGGCACTGATAGGGCTACACTGATCATCAGGGCACACTAATCATCAGTGCCCTAATGATCAGTGTAGATGTCCCCTCTGAGGAATGCCAAATACATAGTTACATAGTAAGTCTGGCTGAAAAAAGACAAAAGTCCATCCAGTTCATCCATAGAAAAAAAAAAAGTTTATAATCCTACACTCACAATTGATCCAGAGGAAGTAAAAAAAACCCAGCAAAGCATGATCCAATTTGCTCCTGCTGGGAAAAAAAAGAGGCAGTCGGATATTCCTTGGATCAGCTTTACCTATAAATGTTAGTATCCAGTTATATTCTATGTATCTAAGAAACAATCCAGGCCTTTTGTGAAGCAATCAGAAGCAATCCACTGAGCTGCCCAGCACCAACTCTTGAGGGAGTCTATTCCACGTTTTCACAGCTCTCACTGTGAAGAAACCTTTCCGTGTTTGGAGATTAAATTTCTTTTCCTCTAGATGTAAAGAGTGCCCCCTTGTCCTCTGTGATGACCTCAGGGTGAATAGCTCTACACGGAGTTCAGCGTGACGGCCCGTGAGGAGAGAAATGCCGATAACCGACATTTTCTTATTTACATGCGATCAGCTGTGACTGGACACAGCTAATCACATGACAGAGCCGAGGGACACAGCGCACCACCGATCGCTGCGCTGCACTCCCCCATGCGAGGTTAGAGTGGGAGGACATCATATGATATCTTCCCAGAACGAGAGAACCACCTTGCGCCCGACATTTCCTAACCGGGAGGCGGTTAAAAAAATAAATATAGTTGATTCTTGCATTTAACTGTTGCATTAAAGCAGAACTCAGTTAAATAAATAAACAAACTAATAAAACAAACAGCTTTTGCTGCAATACTCACCTTCAATCGGAAGCTGCCCCCCATTGTCCCTTCCACCACAGGATGTCCTCAGTCTTCTGGGCTGAATGATGGCCAGCATTATTCAATTCATTTCAACTGAGCCCAGACTGTCAAGTACTCACCCCTAGCAAATGAAATGTTTGGCTCTTTGTGCTGCTTTTTGCTCTCCCACTGTGAGCCTTTCTGTATAACAATGGCAATGGGCTGATACTAGATATAATTCAGGTACTTACACTTAAAGAAGAACTCTGGGATAGGAAAAAAAAATCACCCATTAGTACACCCCCTACACAAAACGCTAAACAGTTAATACAATTTTAAAAATTCTTACCATTTAGGAGAAACGTCTAATTGCATTTTCATGACCTCATCTCTGTAATTCAAGAGAACAGCATCTGCTGTGCGAAAGAAGGAGGAGGTGTAACAGCTGGGATTACACCATACCCTCTCCTCTGTCTCTCTGCAGTAAAAGGAAACTACAGTTCCCAACATCCACATGGATGTTGAATGTGTCTGAGAGTCTTGGTCCACCCACCACTGCAAAGTGGGGCTGAATTACATTACTGCTTCGTGGAGAAAGACCTATAGCAGGGATACATCAATGGCTGAGGGAATAGGAGGCATAGCAGCCATTGGTCTTACAAACTGGAAACCAAAGAGAATTAGTGGTTTGATTTGAAAATTAATAGGATATTTCAGAGTAACTAGTGAGTGAACCAGAAGATAGATAACATATTCATTGAAGGTAAGAAATAAAAGAAATAAGCAATAAGGACATGTAAAGAGGTTTTTGCCCAAAATTCTGCTTTAATAATTTGTTTTTTTAATACAGAATCACATTATTTGTGTCTTTTATTTCTGCCTGGAGTTTCAGTTTAAACATATTTCAGCAAATACAGTATGTAAAAGGGAGGAAACTAGAAGGAGAGTAAAGAAACAGAGAACAGGAGGACAAATAGAAAAAAAAAGATATATAAAAAGATCAAATGTGCTTTCATAGTGCTTTACATTTTTCTATTGATCAAAGATTAACATTTGAAATTTCTTCCATTTCAAAAAATGAACATTTTTTCTTTGCAGTCCTTGTTTGTAAGAACCTGTGATTAATTCCTAAACTGGTCAATTATATTCTTGCTGTCAGCATTACAATCCTAATGATGTCTTATTTGGGTTTCTAGAATTGTCAGTGGAGCACTCAAACAATACCGTTAACAATACCACATTGTACATTGAACATTTTTTTTAACATTAAGTCAAATATTAAATTAGAAATAAACCGTAACTGAATGATATTTAGCCTGCTAAAGCACTATGTATCATAAACAATCAATCAAAGTGGTATACTTGTTTTCAACTTGTAAGGGAGCTTGTAAATGGCTGATTGTTGCTGCCAAAAGGTACAAGTCCCTACCTCGCTTCTTCTTGCTAGAACAACAACCCTCCTCCTTGAGGTTTTTACCCTTTGCCATCTTGTGCCCATCTTCTTACCTGAGGCCTTATCATAACATTCCTGGTCATTGACCTTCATGTCCCAAGGGAAGGAATGTCCAGACAATACTATAAGTTAGGATTGCTGCACTTTACTGATTTAAGATGGCATTACAGTCAAATCACATTGACATATCTGGGGTCACTTGACAGCATTTTGTTAATCACATATAGTGGATGATCTGCAGCAGTCACATGTGGAATCAGTACACATTAAAATTTAGTAAGCCATCGTCCCTACTCAGTCTGTGAGAAGGGCTTAAGGGGCCCTAGAAGGGGACACTGTTGAACTGCACTTTCTAACGCCTAAACCACAGGCACGAGCCGTGGTCATGTAAAATCAGCTTTAAAGCAGTAATCCGAATTTGAAAGCGATCAGGCACTTTGCACAGTTAACTTTGTAATCTATGGCCATACTTCTTACAGTGTTGACACTAAAGCATTTCAGACAAAACTTCTGTTATAGAAAACCTCTCCCCAGGTGTGTAGCATTTTTGAGTAAGTACCACGGAGCTGTTACTGGTCTCTGCCAACTCAGCAGTGCCAGCACCTCATTCCCAGTGACCCAATGATGTTACTAATGTATACAGGAAACATAATTCTCCATAGCTCCTTGGTTGTTCTCCTCCTGGGGCCCCCTCTACATCCCTCTCTCTGTGATCCAGGCTAAGTCTCTAGGTACTCCATGCCATGAGGTCAGTCCCAGTAAGTGGGAAACCAGTTGCTAGCAAAGGAACCAAACATAACACTCCCTCACTACCAGTATATCTCTCATCCCTGCCATCTGGCACCTGTTTCCTGGCTGGTTGGGTGCTTTAGCATGTAACAAAAATAGGGTAGTATTAGCAACTGCAATATAGCCTCCTCAGAACAGCTTCTCTTTTTGTTAGACTTCTGAACTGTATCTTCTCTAACCTCTCCGGTCCCCTTGTTGTAAGCCATGTTCTTTTGACACGCCTTATGCTCAACCCTTTAGAGACTTTAGACCAAGCAAATTAGATGAACCATAAAGATCTTTTACTGAAATAGTTAAAGGTAACAAAGGAACAGTTCTCAAAGACATCTTCCACACACAGTCTTGTAAAAAGTTCTCTAAGTGCCCCTAAAGTAGTGTCCCATCAGGTAATCATACAGTAATTGAATTAGGCAATAAGTCCATAAACTATTCCTTTTCAGCGCATAGTCCATAACTGGTAGTAATCCACATGAGGCAGCAATACTCCATAAGCAGGGTCTAGCTAAGGTAGCATAAGTCCATATAGATCCAAATGCTCCAGACCCCACTAGGAACCCCTATTGACTTCCCCCGAAGGGTTGTCTCAACCCAACAGCATGACGGCTATATTTTTGCATATTGCCTCCTCTGTCTCCTCTGGCACTAATGAGCCCATATTTATATGGTATGACCTGTAGGGGTCTGTACCCTTGTTGAAAACAACAGGAAAACCTGATCAGTGACATTAACCATTCCATCTCTGGACCTACCAGCTCAGCAGGCCAACCCAAGACACAATACAATTAGCCTACATTGTAACAATTTGCTTCCGCATTTAAATACCCAACCCCAAAACATGTACATAGCAGGAAGAAAACGTGTAAAACAAACAAAACCTTTGGAAAAACCTGCTTACAAGTTTTTTCTCCTCCCAGGGTCATTACTGCTCCTTTAAGGTAGTCTTTCTGAGACAGGATCACTGCGGTCACCTCTGGCTTGTGTACACTTCATACAGGGGGATAGCCTCACTCCAGGAAACACTTGGTCTGGCCTAAAAGGCCTTTTGCAACCTGCTCTAGCCTCCTACACCATAAGAGTCACAATGTCTACATCCAGCTTTTCTGGGTGCAGGTCTATTTCTCCCTGGCCTCGAGCCCTGTAAAGGGCCTCCATGTCATGTCTACACTACATCTGTCTGATGGTGGGGTCTCTGGTTCCATACCCTAACTACACTAAGGCTCCTCCAAACCTGGCTTAAATATAGGCATTGACTCATAACATCACTACAGGAGGGCTCTAGCTAAAGAGGGTTGAGCACCTGATGACACAATTCTCTATAACCAGACACCTTTCTAGGACAGAACCACCTAGTGGCAGACCAGCTAAATGCACCAGCTTACAAATGTAATTCCTTCTTTTGTTGCATATCACTGCAGATGATCTTTTGATTTCAGTGATGACTGGATGGCATTCTTCAAGGCAAGCTTTATGATACTGACAACACTAGACCATGCCCGCTAATGTGCTTGAAAGGGCCACTTTAAGTCTCCATCAGAAACTTGTGTGACAGGGCAATGATACAAGTGCACAAGGACATAGACACATCCTGTACCAGGAAACGTCCAAAGAAGGATTCTCATGGCAGGATCCCAAGGTATAATTTTAATGAAGGCTGCAAATAAAAATAATTGAATGACTTTTGAAATAGCATCAGCATGGTAAATTTTATATGAGATATTATTGATTGGGTTTACAAATACTTTAAAGATGAACTCAATGTTTTTATTAATGAACGTCCAGCCTAGCATTTCTCTAACTGCTATTGTCATAAATACCAACATGAGGTCATTTTAAAATGAGATAATTTATGTTGTGGACATTTGGGCATAGACACTACAGAAAAAACTCATCTACCACACCTGTTAAATATCTGTAATTCACAAGTATGTCATCAGCCAAAATACATCATTTCATTTTGAGTTATTGTAAAAATAAATGCTCTT